ACAACATTTGTGGAGACCATGAAACAAGTCCAAGGAGGCGTTCTGGTTGGTTCCCAAGATATTCGCGGCTTCTTCTTTGGCGCGCAGGTGCCGACTTCTCCTATTGAACTGGTTTCGTCCCTACTTGCGAGTGTTACCCTCTTCGCATTCCGACTTCTGCCAAATTTACCAATAAACCTTCGGATATTGGACTCCCTTCGTTGGTATAGCGTGCCTGCCTGCTGCATCTTAGGGGCTCCACTTGCTTGTCTTGGCGTAAGACCACTGAACCAGGATATCTGCCCGTCCACTGAGTTCTCTGCTGCAAATCTTACCTGTAGATTGATTTCAGAACGTCCATGGAGGTCCCCTGGATGTTGAACAGCAAATGAGCAATCTGCGTAGCGCACCACGAAACTTGGCTCGCAAGGACAGAAGGCAGTCTCCAATCCACAGAAGGCTGCCTCGGGGGCAAAACCTGAAATTAGGTCTGCATTGTGGTTTCTTGAATTTCAGCGCAGAGCTGGCCGCTTCCGCGAAGCACACCGTCCCTTTTCGACATATTCTCCCGCCTCCTGACATAAATGCAATTGCGCCTCGTCGAGAAATGACAGCGCAGATGTCTGTACCACATCCTCTCCAGCGGACAGTATAGACCCAAAAGTGCCGATACGAAGACCCAGCATCATCCGAACCTCACATGGGGGGTCTCCAAAGCCACCGAACGCATGTTCTTGTTGCTCAGCTTGAAACTGGAGACAAATATGAAGTGGTTACCCGCTTCTTACGCATGCAGTCCGGAGGGAGGCCGGGAACCACGAGAAAACGTGTAGAGGCATTCGAGGCCTACGGTTTGTCCTGGTTGGTAGGGTTACCTCAGTGGTGCAACTGACGAACGGCCGTACACGGATGCATGAGCAGCCATACGGTTCCACAAACTGGCACTGACTCATCTCCAACCGTGTCCAGTTGTGAGAATCATCAAACCCAGGCAGCTTGGAGTCCGCTCAATCAATTGTGGAACCAACTAAACGACCTACAGGACTGATAGACGACACTAAAGTATGGAATCGTCACTGGAAAGATGACAGGGTGGACTCACCCAGAATGAACCAAACACGCCCTGACCCCGTCTGCCCAGACGGCCTATGAACAACGCATTTAGGCGCGAGCGCGAGGTGTCAGATGGGTAAACTACCTCCACCGACGCTCGCCTTCTCCTCTTCCATCTCAACACATAGGGCGGTCATTTTCGTACAAACTTCATATATGACTGGGACGGGTGCACAGGCTCCTTTTCGTGTATGCAAAGAAGACCAGTTGCAGTCAGGTCGTGTATTAGGCGCAAACAGCACAAGTCACTCTTCGGAGCTCTGTGTCGGACACGGCACGGGGGATTGAAGTAGACTCGAGGGTGGTCAGTGAGTGCTTGGCCGTCCTATTTGAGCGTCCGTTACGTCCGCTTGTCACGGGCATGTTACGTAATGTTTAGGATTCAGTACGAGTGGAGTAGAGCGCAGCTCTAGTCAGACGGTCGCAGTCGCGAGCTCGATCCACCTACAGGTCGCCTGAAAGAACAGAAATCCAGGAAGACCTAGGCAGCTTATTGTTGTGGATACATCTCCGCTCCCGAGGCACACCTGTGCATCCGAAAGACAGCAAGCACACAGTGGGCCGCGACGTTACGTACTCGCAAAGCGTCCAGTTCTCCTTTATAGAAGTCGCTAGGGGCGCAGATTCACATCCATCAGTTGACCCGCCACCCTCTTTGGAGGTGTGGCAAGCCATACGCCCTGTCTAAGTCTGGAAAAGGTCCATAAATTTTTTGGGCTTATGCTTTCGCAGATCTTGATATCAAACTACCATTTGCTAGAGAAGGCTCCCTGAGGCGAAATAACAACAGTACGGGGAAGGCACCGCTGGAAAGAGTACACAAGGCGAACTCAGTAAAAAGGCTTTAATAGTAAACATCAGACGGTTGTAATACAATGCAATCGTGTACAGAGTGGGGGGTGTAGCGCGCGGGGGAGGCACACCCAGGATTTATTTTCCGGCAACAGTTGTAGCAGGAACACAATTCAAATTTAGTGGGGGCGCCGGGGGCGGCGCAGGAAGATTGAAGTCCAGCCCCACGGTGGATACGGCTGCTATAGGCACCGCTGCAGTTGCCGCAGCAGCGGGCGTCCCAGCAACGGCGGCCTCTGTCGAAACCACGGGGGCGTAGTAATAGCCGCCAGGGTGGCCAGCTGCGGCCGCTGTTGATAACCAGAGGTCAGTCGTCGCAACAGCGGAAGCATCGCCCTGAACAGGAAGGAATACATGTCACGTCAACTGATCGGAAGCGATCAGGTGCGGATCGCCCTCAAAGCACACATCTACGCGAAACGTAATGTGAGTGAATTGGCGCTTCCGTATGACTTAAGAAAGTCGTGAGATATCGGACGCTGTCTTTAGCGAATTAACAAGTCGGTGGACATTACAGAAGAATAGGAGAACTATACCGACATAAGGTCCACCGCTTGAGGTATTCGAATAAAACACGAGACATGGAAGTGTTGAAGCTAAGATGTTTAGGTACTAAAAATTCCATTTCGGTAAGATGGAAGGGCACAGGCACAAGAACGTTGGTAGTTTAGTTTTTTGTAGGGCGAAAATTTGTGGGTACACCTGCTTCGAGCAAATGCAGTTGCCATTTTTAACGCGGTGCCTTACTGGGCACTGCTTATTACCTTGTCGCCAGCCTTCCAGCACAGAACGAGGCTTGGGAGCATTGCGCGGGGATTAGATGCATCCGGGTTCAACGGCTTGGTCCAATACCAATGTTCCCGTCATATATCGGTGTAGAACAATAATTATGTTTTCGTCGGTTCCTCACCCCCCCCCCCCTCCGGTCAGACCGTAGTCTGGTATTCCAGGAAGGTTGGGTGCTAAATGAGCTGGATGTTCCGTCCGACGAATAAGCGGACGTAGACCACACAATGTTGTGGCTGGACACCAGTCTGGCATAATGACTCCTATGAAAATCATAGGCCATGGCGGTATCACGAGATGGAGTGTTAACCGCAACCAAATAAGACGTTAACTGCCGGGGGCATAAGGCTGGTACCGGACGGCTAAATAAACAATGCACCTTAGAATCAAGGGGCCAAATGAATCTGCACCTCAAACAGGCCGCTATACGCAGCCCATAGCCCTAGTCAAAACGTAACCGGCCTTTCGGCCGACCGCAGGGTTATGGTCGCGCGCTCTGGGTGGACTTCCGAAGTTCGATGAGGGTCCAACGATAACAGCAGCCAAACTTAGTAAAGCACTTTTGCGCCTCGGGTGACGTTTCACGGCGACAGAAGCAGGAAATGGGTCTGTATATAAGTAATTACGTTTGGACTGATGTCTGTGAGCCCACAAAGGTCTCCACAGTTGGGACTACAATCACACTACGTTCATAAATCCCAGCTCGCACAAGATACGACGCAGCCGTGTTTACTGTCCACATAATGCGCTCTACAATCTCTCGCAAAGGAATTACTTGTCGGAAACTACCAACGCAGAGATACTTTATGTTGGTGGTGTGCAATACTACGAGGTCGTTGTTAATGGCAAAGTAAGCATCAGCAATAGCGCATCTAGTCAAATACTAGAGACCCATCAAGCCAGATACGAAATCTAGTCACGTGTGGGCGCAGGACGCTCGACATACACACAATATTGCAAATTATTTGCAATAATACTGTCAGACTGCTGTTGTACTGATAAGTCAATTGAAAAAAATAAACGGAGACACACCGTTGCAGCCACAACCCCATTGGTTCCTAGTCCATGCAGACCCATTGGAGGGGCAACTGGCACCATCGTGGGAGCAGGTGGAGGCAGACCCGCAGCGACACCCTGGGCCCCAGCCAACGGCTCATAGGCACCCGCGGTGAAGAAACTGGCCGCAGTCTCCGGTGGAGCGATCGGTGTACCGACAGAGGCCGCGTCCTCGAGGACAGAGATATCGGTAGTGAGATGCGGCATCTTGCGCACGGGACCATTGGTGGCAGGATTGTGCTTGGCTGAGGGTCTCAGTGGGGCTGGCAGCACAACATTGAGCAGATCGGGGGTGCTGTAGGCGCGGGTGGCATCTACTCCCGTCTGGCGGTTACTGGTGCAGCGGCAGACCAGTTGAGCCAGAGAAGCATACTCATCGTAGGCAATGGAAAGTCTTTAAAAACAGAGGACGGTGGTTAGAGGTCGTCAGCTGGAATACTATTGGTGGCCGTGTAAGGACGGCAGGCGTTTTTCCTGGACAATCCGGAAGGGTATGGGGGGAAGGTATGTTGACGAAGGATTGGGGCAGGAAGTAAGCATAGGGAAGATGTTAACGGAAGTAACAAAGTAGTTTCATTGTTTACGCACAGGTGTCGTAGCTGAAAAGATGTTTAGGCAGTGCATGAGTTGGTCAACATCCGGCAGCTGGAGAGGAAGTCATTGTTTGGACCACCTTCAACAGGTTGCGTTGGCGCTTAATTTTAATTAACAGTAGATATCAATGAAGATGGATCAACATCGACAGTTAAAACGGTCGGTTTAGTCCCCTCCCAAAATGCATGTAGATACTTTGTGATCTACGTGAACAGGGCTCTTAGCTAAGGGGCAGATAGTGTAGGAGTGACAAGTCGCTCCACTCGGCCTTTAGCTGGCGCCCCGCTTGCATCTGCGGATCCACAATGTCGTACCCTGCTCAACGGCCACGCGCCAGATGGTGTTAATCCGGACTTTGAGCCCCCTACCTACCGCTCGCGTTCTCCTCCTCTGCCGCCTTTACAAAAGTCTATAGAGCGATAGATTCCGTAAACGGTACAGGCTAATTCAGGACGCCGACAGCAAAGAAACTCGTTCGGCGACAAAGACAGAGATCTGGATTCTACTGATCAAGAAAAGTTGTACACCATCTATGACAATAACGGGGTCGGCGACAATAAAGTCTGATGTCGAAGTCTAATGCGGCCAAGGCTGAGAGTAGTGCAAAATGCTTGGTCGGAAAAATCCAAAGACACGCTGACAGCGATCGGTCAGATCGGTCTACAGCAACCAGCTCACTGGAACTGCACTGCTACTCACCTCAAACCAAACAACGATAACTGATGAATAACAGATCTTGAGGCGTTTGGACAAGCGCTTTAGCGGCGGCCTCAATCAACCGTCTTTAACAGAATCCTTCAGATGGGTACCAATAGTGATCTCAGTTGTCCGCCTTCACAAGAAACCCCCAAAGCAGCACAATAGATGTCCAACAGAAAGCCCTCGGGCACCGACTCAATCGCGGTCGAAATCTACAAACACGGCGGTCCTCAAACTCACCTCACAGCTTCGGGAGATGTGGAGACGAGCACAAACCCCCCAAGGTGTTCCCATCGTCCATTTGTACAGGTCAAGGGAGAACAGGCGCCTTCAACGAACACAGAGGCCTCTCTTTTCAATAGGATTACCAAAACCCCCACACGAGTCCCACTTAGCCGTCTAAACCTACACCTGGAACAAGGACTTCTTCCGAAAAGCAGCTTGAATTCAGATGGAACTGCGGAACTACTGGCATGATTACAATAGAGGAAAAAAGTGCACTGACGGACGCAAAACAAAGTCGACAAAAAGGGCACTCACTGTCTAATATCATCGCCGAACTCTTCGAGGAACTGCAACTTCCGTTGGCTGAAAGCCAACTTGACGGTGGCAGGTAAAAGTGAGTCGACAATAGCAAAGTCTGCGAATTGAAGGAAACCCTCAAGGTCGACCGGTCGGCGCTGGTAAGCAATATCCAACAGCTGGGCATAGAGGCGTTCGTTGCGCTGAAGGAAGGAGTTGAAAAAAATGTTCTTAGTGACAGTTCGACCATCGTTACCGAGGCTGTCTACTGTGTGTCCAACAGCGGGGTAGGAGGAGGGACAGTGACTGGCGCTGCACGTAACGCATCCTCTTCGCTCACCCTCCTGGGTCCAGTATCAAGACAGAGTCCAGAAAACCGAGGCGGGGTCGGATGCGGGTTACCGGCGCCGTGTGAGCCTGCGCCTAGGCATGCCACCACGACCCTGTGTGACACTTGTTATTTGTGCGCAGTCAAGCATCGCGTGCCGGACCCTGATCTGGTCCCTGTCTTGATCCAGCACAACCCCCGAGCGGCCCGTTGTAGGGGGCTTCTCAGCTAAGATCATAAGTTGACTCTTGACAGTGTGCGAAGAAACGAGGAAAAAGTATAGCACAGCTGGGTCAGATACGGCCGCAAACAATACAGCTCCAGTACCGATTGCCTCATTGTTTGCAAAGACATGGACGATAACACTACGCTGCGGTCTTACGATCCGCCCCACTATTGCACAACCACTTCCGAGGTTCAACATGGAAGTAGAGGCTCCTCTAACAGTAATATGACACAACCGGCTACTGCTTGGCTGGTGTGTAGCACGTAATTTGCAGAAAAGGCACTAGGGTGATAAAAAGGACTAGTCGACTCGAAGCGGTCGGGCGGTCAGATACGTTATATGCTGGTGGCGACCACGTTTCTGATTCTTCGAAAAAAAAGGCCTCCGGAAATTCTTTTGCGGCAGGGCGTATGGCCAAGACAGCAAAGTCGATTCTGTGCGTTTCGGTGTAAAATGCACTACACGTCACTAAATAACTCAAGGCGGTAAACACTCACCGGATCGTACTCGATGGCTTCCTTGAGTATAGCAATGGCAGCCTCCTCTGCGGTCATTAGCTGCTTATCCTCCTCTGTCAGACTGTCAGGTGACGGTGGCTGAACGCAAATAATACGCTCACGTTCAAGGGCATACTCCTTGGCGTCGGCATCAGCCTGGGCCAACCGCTTCTCTTCCTCGGCCTTGGCAGCCAGTAGATCGGACTCACTTCCCCACCGGCTACGCCGTTTCCTCTTCTTTGCCGCCGGACCCTCCGCTGCCTTCTCCTCCGTGACGGCTGCAGTAGAGTCTTCCTTGGACTCGTCCATTTTCTCCGCTTCCTCCCCGCCCTGCTGACTGGTCGACTTGGTACGTACAAGGACGACGGGCGGCGAGTCAGCAGTCTCCATTTCAACGTCGTCTTCGGCGGCCTTTGATTCGCCTCCTTTTACCCGAGATATGGTTTCCGGTGTAACCGGGAGTTCTTCCTCCGCTTCCGGTTTTTCTGCGACACCTTCCATTTCTACAATTTCGGTGTCCTCCTCACCTGCATCTTCTGCACTGCCTGAGGGCTCCTTGTTACGGCCATCCTCGTGTCCGGTATCACTTTTGACGCAGGGAGAACGAGGGCCATCCTCCTCTTTGATAGGTTCGGAGGGTTTCACCTCCGTCTCGCCCTCCTCTTCATCCTGATTCTCAGGCTCCGGTTCCACCTTGTAGGCAGAAGAGAGGAGGAGTTGCCAGGTGTGGATGCCCTGAGGTGGTACCAGATTGTTGACGTTGCGATGCAACAGGCGGGAAAGCTTTCCGGCCAGGTAGCTGGCGCCTGCACGTGCTTGCGCGCTGGCTGCAAGGGCGAGTGCTGCAGTCATGGAAGCAGTCGGTCCAGAGGCATTGTGTGCCACGTTTGCCTGTTCTGAAGCGCGCAAACGTAGTCGATTGATGCCAGAACGAATACAGACGATGATGTCCAACAGCTGAACAGTACAAAGGGTCCGGTGTTAGAGGGGGCGGGATAAGGCATAGCAAAAACATGATGAGATTGACTACTCACTGGTTTTTTGGCCCTGCGCATGGCATCCACGCGGCGTGCACAGGCGAGAGCGCTGTCGGGCAGACGGGCCTCTAACTCAGTGAGGATCTCAAGACTTGTTTTAGCGGGCGTAACGGCCGACTCTTTGCCCACACTCTCGACGCTATCCAAATTGGCCGGGTAACGGTCCTCAAACATGGCCCAGTACCAGTGAATTGTGGGCTTTCGTCGCAGATGCACTGTACAGGCGCGACGCCAGACTTCCCGTGCTGCCGGAATATCCATTTCGGTGAACTGCAAGGCAACAGTGGATTCAAAATATATGGAATCAAACGTGTGCGCTAATGTCTTCAGGATAGGGCGGACTGAATCTTAGACACCCAATTTGTCCCTGTGGTTGGCAACCACAGGTAAACTTGAACGCCTGAATATCTGAACCCACGTCACTGTCTAGTTGCTAATCTGACTGACCTGAAGTTTTTTTCCACTGACAGCCTAATACGAGTGTGAGAGGACAGGACGTGGGCGAACGAGGATAGAACAAGTTAGGACTACCAATAATGCGTGATGCCGAAGACCTTGGACTGCAACCGAACGCCACTGCCGACAACTCTTCGTGCAGACATCTTGAAGAGTACGTACATTTCAGTTGACTGGTCAGGTGGTCTACGGCAGTTCCGCTCTTTATAAACAACGCATGACTGAGAAAGGTAATCCCAGAAGGGCAGATGTTCACTAGTTGGGTTTTACTGGCTAAATTGGCGCAAAAGTGGAACAGGTGGTAAATTACCTTTCCTATCCAAAAGTTAGACAGTGTATGTTACCGTGTCAGGAAAATCAATCCAAAGGGCGTTTTGGATATGCGAATGGAAGACGGTCTTCAGATAGGAAATCGAGCTATATTTGCGCAAAAATGCAAAACACCTACAGTCCATGGTCAAACCTTCCGAATATGAGTGCGCTTTCAGGGGAGGGGGGCTTATGTATTCATTAACGAGCAAGATGCGGAAAGTAGGAAGGCTTACCTCGAGGTATTTCGCGTAACGTATCCAGAAATTCTCGTAGAGTGCGCACGCTACTAGACAGCGTTCGTAGAGTATACGAACACGTTTTCGTGCGAGCCGAACATCCTCGTCCAACAGAGGATCTGCGTCTGGATTTGCCGCCTTAAAATCCGAGATCACTGTCGAGGCCTCGTTCTCCTCAAAACTGAGGTACTCGGCCCAATTATTTATTTGCATCTCCTCCAGCGGTTTAACGTGAAAGTATGGGCGGCGTATCTGTATGTCAGTGAAATAGAGAAGAATGTATGCATTCGTCATCACGACAACTAAACAAGAGCCTAATAGCGGATCCTACGGCTTCAATCATTGATCCCTACCTACCGTAATCGACGTGTCATCAGAGTTCATAGCATTGGAAAGCAAATTATAGAAACTGGCTGCGAGGAGGGAAGTCGTTCGCCAACTAAGTGCAGAAGAGTACCACAATTGAGGGTTTCGATTCAAGAATAAGCGTTGGTAAACTCGCCACACTGTAGCAGTCAAATATATCTAGATCTGGGGAGCACCAAGCATTCTATTAATCATGAAGGTGGACGGGAAAGGCGAGGTCGATTGCTTTTAATACAAAGGCTGATAATCAACAGTTTCAGTTTTATTTTGATTTCATACCGCGGAGTTTGCTTAAATTTACTCTGGGAATGACCTGGTGCCCAGGTTTTGATGTAAAACTCACCAAATAGTCTAGACAAAACAGTTCTGTCATCCTGGGGCTGTTAGAGAAAATGTGCTACGGGCGCGATAGTGGCCTTTTAAAACGTCCTCTTACCCTACCGCCACGAACTTGTATCCCTTGTGTCGAAGCAGAGCTCCAGGCCAGCAACATAATCCTAACGACTGGAGGAAACTATGGGGATGTAGTTATCCCAAAGTCAGGAAACGTTTTATGACAAACAGCATTGGATCGCCGACCCTGAGAATTTGCGTTGGCAGTCTATTTCTGTGAGGCCTGTGGGGCCGGTAGTCTGACTTATTTTTGCAGAAGACGTTTTCTGACGGCGTTGATCCTCTATCTTCCACAGGTTGTCATAAAAAAGCTCGACGCGTCGAAACGACGGACCTTAGCTCTGTCCCATTTAAACCTGCTTGCGATGAAAACGCACGCTGTAGAATGCGTCCGACGTTAAAATTCGGAAAACCCAAACTGGGTGTCAAAAACAGCGGCCAATCATTTGCGACGTTCGAGCTATCAAATCAGGGCTAAACGCCAGAATAAAAACAGATCGTACGTACAACCGAGAATTGAGCTCCGTTTACTCTAGACGCCATTCCAGTGCGCTAAGTACTCTCCTTGGCGCAGCCTTTGAGACAGGTAGAGAGGATTTGTGGGCAGCGAGTAGTTTACATAGACCGAGAACAGTAATTCTGCTGTAGGTTAATAATTTAATTTTCGATTATTGATTCCAATGCCTTAGCTTTTCATATACTCCACAAAGCTGGGCTAAAGCGTTTTGGTTCAGCTTGATCTGATTAATTGAAAGAAGTCGAACATACAGGCGAAAATACTGTACAACTCGAAGAAACAAAGGAAAATACCTTTTCTTCAAAATACCACCGTTTCATGATCTGCAGATACGTCGCCTGGTAGACCTTCTCCCGAGAGTCAATAATGAATTGGCGAACGGCGGTCCTGTCGGGCTCAGTGACTTGCTTGAAACGACAGGATATATGAAAGTTAGAAACGTTTTACGAATCTAATCATCAGCAGCATTAGTTAGTCCATAAAAAGGTGGATGCAGAAAATAAACTTTACTCTCATATGCCACTCTGTCTTGTAGGATCGCCCCATTTTTGAGTGGTAGTTACACGCACGTGCGTGCACGTGGTTAGACGGGCAAACCTGGCCTTCTATATAGCCATAATAAGCACTGTACAGTCTAATGAAGGTCTAAACTGTTGAGTCCGTCCAAGTGGTGCCCATGAGGATTAATTTGCGATGGGAGTTTGCGGTAGTATGATATTTTAGTTTTAACATTGAAAATGAATCTGACACCGAAAGTTGGATATAATGGAAAACCCTTAGTGCGGGGTTACAGCCAGATGCCGCTTTCTAGGAAAATGCGATCGCCCGGTTGCTGCTATAGCGTATGGAAGACGGCTGCAACGTTAAATGCGTAAAATTGGCAAGATATAATGTGGGTTAAAGGGCAGGTCCAAACTTGTTACTTGGATTCGCGGTAACCTTCTCCACGCAGGGTCAGACTTAAGGGCGCTAGAACGGACCATCGCCCAGCCGAAGTTCTGTCCCACTACACACCTTGCGATCGGTCAAATTTATTCAATCAAAGACCCAGTGGCAGTGAGGAAGGATACTTAGTCGTCTTTTTGCGTCCTACAAGCAATGCAGTCTCACTGGATACTATACAATCATCGGCAGTTTAGTGTGTGAGGTATGAAAAATGCCTACGGCTATTAAGTCCACAAGCACCCGAAAGAAGACCGGTGGTACATGGCAAAATCTGCATTTTGTCTTCAGTTAATACCGTTAGAGGATAGCTCCGTAGGGGCACTTGGGCCAGAAGCAGGGTCAAATTATTCTGTGTTGAACTGGCGGGTAAAAAGTCGCTCATCTGGTGGTGGTCGGGAAAAAGACTGACAGTTACTCAAGCTGTACTTAGAGCTAATTGTGGCAAAGCTAGCGGCACTCAGTCCTATTGGAAGAAACAGGCTAAATCTAGTCAGCCGATAGAAGTGGAATTAGATCTCCGCTTTATGAATCGTGAATCATCTGGCCTTCTAAGTGGAGGAGCGGACACTCCCACGATCAGTCCGCCAGGTAGGTCAGCACGACAGTAAAGCCTGCCAATTTTCTGGCTCGATGTAAACTAATCGCCTCGAATGTTGGGGTGACTGAGGTCGTCAAGCCTGACTTCGTTAAGACATACATTGCAACCGCGCACATCTCGGCAACTCACTTGGAATTTCATTACTCTTTTAGCCACTTGTATTACTTCATTATATGTATGAAACATTCACAGACTGGCAGCTCCAGGGCCTTATTATATAGATGTTAAGAGTCTAGAAATTTTCATGAACTGCCTGCAGAAGGAAGCTTTCGCGGGACAGAGCTAGAGGGATTCGTGGCCCTGCACGCTCGAAAAAACAGATTACGTCAGTCTCATACGTTGATGCGGCATTATCAGTTGACCCAGGGCTTCTGTTAGTGCAAACAACCAAAGCATGGCAATTGAAACTACCTAAAGTCCAGATAGTCATGCAGGTAAATAGATCTACCTCAATGGCAGACTTTTTCGGGGGTGCAGTTGTAGGATGCTCAGCACCGTCACTGTCCCAGTTCTCTTGGGCAGCTTTCATTGATATGCGCAAGGCGGTGGCTGCAACAGGCGCCACGCGGGCCAACAGACCAACAAATTCCGCACTAGAGAGCACATCTTCGGGCTTGTTCTCTTCGATCAACTTCTTGAAGCTATCCCAATTCTGGAAGTAAAGCTGCGTAGGTGTCTTGAGGATGCGATCATAGATAGCCAGGACTCTCTGAAGGCGATTATGGCCGCTCTCCCAGCTGATGTAGTGTTCCCAAAGAGCATCAGAACGGAACTCCAAACCTGCCTTCTCCAACGCTAGTTCATAAAGACTAGGCAAAGAAAACGGAGAAAATGGTGGAGTACGATGACGCTTGAGGATGCACAACTTCAAGTTGATTCGCTAGCGCAAGTACCAAGGTGGGTGAACAGTAAAGCACACGAGGGAAAGATTAGAACGACTTCGCGTGACCTGTTGACTGTCCTGTTGCAGGTGAACCTTCATGAAACAGAACAGTTCCTACAGGCAATACGGTTTCATGTCTATGTTTTATCAGCCGACCTAACCTGGCCGCCAGACTTTGATTTTCGAATGATACCCCAGCATAATTGGTGACTTTGCGAGTAGGACGTTCGACAGATGGGCCGGAGAAGAATTTGGGTGCAATTAATACAGATACAAGCAACAAAGGCTTACTAAAATGAATCCGAGGCGTTTGCAGGTGACAGACTGAGGTTAGTCCCCTCGGTAGTTGAAAAAGCTGCAGATTAATTGAGCGGACTCCCAGAAAACGGGCGTGCAAAATACGCAGGGGTGGCTGTTCATCCAGACGGCAAGTCGGTGCTCACAAAATGACCACAGCGTCGTTCACAGTCACATTGCTTATCCTACACCCTTTCTACCAATAATTAAGGCTTTTACCGGAAGGCACAGAGCACAGGCGACCTTGCATCAGGCATATTGTCTCGATTTTTTATGGTGACATAAGAAGCACGAACGACTAATGCTATGGTCCTTGTGAGAACTTGTGTTAGAGCACTATTCGGTGCGAAGACACAAAATAATTGAACTAACATCCTTCAACACTGCGCTAAACTTGCAGCGCCTATTAGACGGCGTGTATCCTCGCAGATTAAGACGCATAATGCAAATAGACGTAGCCTCTGAAACTAACTTATTTCCGGTGCGTCGGTCGAAAGCTCGCTCCCTGGGTTGCGCACAAAATTCGGGTTGATAGGACGGCAACGCTATCTACCATCCAAGTTAGGGTCACACTTACCAATCAGAAACATAGTCTCTTCAACAGGATAAGTTGATGTACCACCTCAGTGCAGCATGGATACGCCTCTTTGTTCTATTTCTCAAAGCATTCAGGACATTTTTTGCAAGGACTTAGGGGCAACAACCGCTTTCAGGGCAAAAGCGACGAAACAATGGCGATGGTCTCACTCTACTTGTTTTAAAAGGAATGGACGTTAGTCCGTGTCAGATCTGATTATTTTAAAGAAACGACAATCAAGAAACGTGGTATTTACTTACTCCCGCATACGTGGCTCGTAGTCTTCCTGGCCATGGACTATCTCCATAGTTGCATCCAGGTAAGCAGTCCATAAATCAATGCTCAGAGGAATGGCTTCCACACCTTTGGCGTATATCTGTGAAAGCAATTGGATTCAAAATGAAACACACGCAAGTGAATCAAATGTTATTCAAAGTCATTCTTATCATTACGTGTATACCATCTTCCGGCAAATGCGAGTGACTTAATTGGCGTTAGTCCGAGTGTTATTCACCACAGACCACAAGTTTACTACTGCGCCGATTCATATGCAGTACACGGACGTAAGCGAGGCACGATCTCAAAAATTAAACTCGGACTCATGCGATTCGAGAAATTTATTCAGACTCAAGCTAGAACGAAAGACTAACTGATTGAACCAGCGATGTTACTGGAGGAACTAGCCGCTGCCTTACATAACTCTTATGGAAACAACTCGATAGGAGAAGAAAACCAGCCAGAGTATGACACTGTCGCACCCAAGAGTATAAACGGGTTACTCTATATCGTTTTTGCGCAAACACCGCTTAAAACTTCATTCTTTAGAACATACATTTCTGGGTTTGGATAGAATGGTTACCTGTCAACAGACATGGGGAACTGGATTTCCAAGATCAGTTTTGTTTTCGTTAACACAATCGACTACAGCCAGTTCCCCGAAATTGAGGTCGAGTTCATTAGATCAGAAAATTGCCGCTTTAAGTGAAAACAGTGTGGCAAAAGCCGCCTAAGCCAACTGAATAGAACCCACGAAAACTCAACCAAGTAATATCGAACCCGAAAAAGGTAGGCGAACCGCGGCAACTTAGACGAAAATCTCGGAGCAGCACAAACTAGACACGACTGCTGGCCTACAGTAAGTCCAATAACACAATCTGCGTCTTAAAGAAACAGAGTCGGAACATAAACATAGAAATGACGAGAGCGGATCGACCATACCTCCAGGCATCGTTCCTTGTTGCCTGCGTGCCGCTCCAGGTCGGCATACTTCTTCCAATAGCCGTAACAGTAAGGGAAATGATCCAGAAATGCGTCAAATGCTTTTCTTGATGCTTCGATGTCATTCTGCAAAAAAGACACTATAGTTTGAGGCAAATTTTAAAACTAAAAGCGAGGTTTACATTTGTCGCCATGCCGTCTGTTCTAGAACATGGCTGCGAAACAAAGAAAGGGTAACTGTCTTTCGGAAATTTTTAAGCTTCAATAACAAGATCTTACATGTTTTTCCACAGCATCAAGCAAGCTAATCCAGGCGTTGAAATCGCCTAGATTCGCCCGGACTTTCCTCCACAGCTTATCGACACTGCTCATGGGTAGGCCACGCCTTGTTTGTATCGACCGAGAAACGCGCGTTGTCAGGTTTCAATTTCATGTCCATATTTGTAAAGGTTTGGATTATTCGTAACGGAGTGTTGCATTTTTGTGCCTCCCTTTCATTACCTATCTAAGAGAGTGACCCAGTCAAAGCAATGTGCAGCACTTAGCAACAAAAGGTTTTGCTGATAAGCATAGGGCGAGAGGGACGCTGGTCGCCTTCAATAAGGGTTTGGAAAGGGTTTTTACATTCACGAAGTTTCGACCAGTCTGGCTTATGCATAAACAATCACACTAGTGCTTCTTCTAACCTTGCCCGTCAGCTCCTGTGGAACGTGTCCCACGTCTTTTCTGAATATACTTATTTCTCCTCGTAAAAGTAATCTATCAGCAGATAGATACTCTGCATGTAGCCGTTATATACTTTGGTCTTAGTAGAGCTTTTGAGGAAGTCCCGCATGGGCGCCCCTTAGCTAAACTGGCGGCTCTAGGACTTCGTTATCCCCTTGTTAACATTATTACGCCACGCCTGTTTAGTCAGAAGCAAATAGACGGCGGGATCCTCACATTCCCATGAGAGCTCTATTGTAAACGGTGTCTTCTAACATGCCGTGTACATTTATAATATTTCATCGGCAGTAGACACTCAATTTTTTATATATGTTGATAATCTCAAGTCCGTTCATTCTTTCCCTAAATCTACGATCCAGCATTGTTTGGAACAACTCCATGCGGACTTGTTTGCCCTTTCCGCGTGGATCTCAACTTGGTCAACAGAATTCTCTCCTTCCAAAGGTTGCTGCTTGTGTTTTGGGTCTGGAAGGCAATTTAAATCTGCGATTTTTTAAGGCGCCTCTATAACTGAATGATCCACCATCAAGAACTTCAATTTAAGCAAACAAAGAAAGATCTCTTGCCGTACGCCAATAGAAGTACAGCAAAATCTTCACAGATTTGTTGCTTTATTTTTATAATTTCTACCTTCCTGGAATAAAATAAGGACTTCCAATCCTTCCCAATCTGGAAAATTTATGTTTATTCTTTGGGTTGATGAACGAGGCTAGTGGTTCTAAAGATGAAAATGTCTAAAGGCATGTTGTCAGAAAACTCTTAAGTGCGACACCACCAAAATACTTCCCACTCAACCCGATACCAGTTGTCTAGCCCTACACTTTTATCAGTTCGGAGACTGGAAACCTGGCCTTCTTCTCCTCAATCACATTAACAATAATCCAGAGTTTCCCCGGATTTCAGCTGTTATCCCCGTCAGTTGTCATTTTAATATTCGTAATTTTTTCTGGACTCCTCCTCCTCCTCCTGCTTCCTCCGCCCGATAATAATCTCTCTTCTTTGCTTCCAGGTATGCCGTTCTTCGAAATAACCTGTCATTTGATATTTAATCGTCAAATAGTCTATATTATCTTAAGAGATGGCTGTGCCCTTCTCTCCACACTGAATCGATTAACTTTTGTTTTCGTCATCTCTCCTCTGCGGTTTTTCAGTGAAATTGAAAAACCACCACTGGGAATTTGGGAGGTCCAATATTTCTGTCTCCACGTGTGGTTTCGCATTTCATGATCTCTTATTATAAATTGGAATTTTTCCGTCCCTGCATTGTGTCCTCCATAAAATTAGGAATGTCTGGGGCTGGCTTGCCTCCAGAAGCTGGTACTGATTTGCAGAACTCATCACGGTGTCCTATCTGATTACAACTTTGGCAGCGATGCAAGCGGAAAGTGCAATCCCGAAGAAAATGCCACGCGCCACAGTGCCGACAAGGAGATGGCGGAGATCTCGCCTTGGACACCTGCTTGAGCCGCGTAACGGAATGCGATTTGGTCGATGTGACCGTATGGACTGAGCAAGATGTGGCAGGGTTCTGAATCATGACGGAGTCGTGCTTGAGGTTGATCAGCGTTTGGCCCTCTGCAGCCAGCTCTTGGAGTGTAATTGAGTGGTTCCGCTGCACTTTGGACAGGAGACGTGTCCGGATATCAGCATCCTTGGAGGACTGGAGGCCGCGGATAAATATAAGGCATTTAAACTGATCTTCAGTAAGAGAACCGAGTTGAAAACGCCCACACTCACGAATGACAATGCCCGCATACGTGAGGAATTCATCGAAATCATGGTTGCGCAGTTACAAGCACTGAAATCGAGTACTGAAAAGGGATGGTTGCTCACTGAAAATTTGCGACAACGTCTGAACCGAGTAGTCAATGTCAAATGCCATTCTCACCTGCAAAATGTCACCTCCTGATTTCTGGCCCACAAAAACTTCCCTCTAATTAATAAAAGGCTTAGGTCTGAGCTACACAAATACCCTTGACTTATCTCCCAACGTTCAACAAATATCACCGAAGGTCACTCGTCTGTGCGGGTTCATATGTAGAAATTTCACATTAAATGCACTAAAAATACAACTTTTTCAAAATGTACTTTTTACCTCTCCTCGGTTACTGCTAAAGTTTCTGTGGCATAATGCCTTCACATGGCCGAAAGAGACTAGAAGGCATTCAGAGACGCTTCACTAGATCTTTGTCCAAATGTGATTTCACCCAGGGGTCATACTTAGAACTATATCATCAATACGGTCGTCGAACCCTCTGGATCAGAAGGCTCCAAAACGGTCTAAACTTCCTATTAAGGTCACACATGACCAAGATATTCTCAAAATGAAAATGTTATAAGGGTTCGCAAATTCAAAGAGTTCCAACCATCAAATTTTTACTCCATAAGATATGCGACCATCTGCAATGCCCTTCCAAGTTCTATCCGAAAAAGTCGGAACCTAATATAATTTAAAAGAAAAACTAGAAAATTCCCTTTGAATAAAAATACTATTTATTTTCGAATAAGATAGGACATTTTTCAATTCTTCAATATAGAATTTTGTCTAAATGGCTCTCATGTAGCCAGCCGCTTAAATAACACCAGGCCATAACACTAAAAAAAATAAATTTAAAAAAGACATCATTACTAATATGCATAGAACAAACAGAGATATCCTATCGTTTTCCTCTTTCTCGTTTCCATCAGCTAATCACCTGACGCAAGTTATCCCTGAAGAAATTAATATTAGCATACTTCTCGATAAAACCCTACACATTAGTTATGCGTAAGTCCATACTGAGGCCATATCAAACTTATATACAATAATGCCAGATCATACTGAACAGTCGACAACTACTTCTGTAACGTCATACCATCAAGAACAACATGATTCATAATCCAATATTATTTAGATATCTTGGATTGTTACTTACCCCTGAGTGTTCATTGCTCTTAACATACTGCAGATTATTCAGGTTATCTCGTAAGGATAATAGGCAAAGCCTTTCAAAACTGTACACAAACAATGAAAATATTCGCCATTAAAACAGTACTTGATTCATTTGAGTAGCACTGGTTCAGAGAAAACTTTGTGCAGTCGCGGGGTACTAACTCACATTCAGACTGTCCAGGGAAAACAGGGGACGCAAATAATAATCCAAGTGTTTCTTAAAGAGTTGCAGGGACGTCGCCTCCACGATCGACTCAGGGAGATCGTCCCGTTTCTCCACTACCCTCTGTGTGAAAAATTCAGAACGAAGATTCAGCCTGGACATTGTTGTCCGTAACTTCATCGAGTGACCAGGAAGATTGAGTGAAAGGTGCCACTGAAACATGTCCTCAAAGCTAAGTCCGTGCTCAATGCCATGTATTATCTTATAGACGGGGATAAGATCACCTCTTTACTGCCCGTAACCCAGAGGGAATAAATAAGGGCAATTCAGTCTGTCTGCATAGGAGTGGCTTTTTAGACCGTTTACCAGCTTTGTTGCACGACGTTGTACCCGTTCGAGGCATGCCTTGTCCTTTACTATCCATGGCCGCCATGCTTGTAGACCATATTCTAAGTGAGGCCGAACAAAGGTGCCGCAAACTCTCCCAAAAAGGTCTTGGTCAAAGGCTACGAACGCCCTTTTGTTTGCATGGAGCACTCCCATGGCGTTTTTTGCAGCCTTGTTGCACTGCTATGCTGGTTTCATATCGCTCTGTATCCAAACACTGAGATCCTTCTGTGAGGATTCTGTGGGGAGCCTTATATATTTCAGGTGATATGTTCTCAGGCTCTCATTTGAATGAGAGTTGGTTGGACGCAGACGAAGGACGGCACACTTCTCCACACTGAAATCTAGTAGCCATTTCTCCCATCACGCTTGTAATCGGCGCAGATCATCTTGAAGGGATCTCTGATCATTCGGACCCTTAATGACTTGCCAGAGCTTAACTTCGTCGGGGAACATTATTTTGCCGCAGTCGAGTTCCTGAAGGCTGTCATTAACATAAAGGATGAAGAACAATGGTCCCAGAACTGAGCCTTGAGGCACACCACTGGTCACGTTCACCCATTCTGATATATCATCTCCGATACAGACACGTCGATTCCGACAAACCGGAAACGCCCTTATTATCGAAACACAATATTTTCCATAATCGGATCTCCCATGCCCTCAGCAGTAGGCGGAGGGCAAACTGCTTCTATTGTGAAAAAGGATTGCAAAAACTGAGAATGCTCAGCATTGTTTGTGCTGTCCGATATTTCCAGATCCTCATCATCTCTCATGACCGTAATCGGATTCCTGTTACGGGTGCTCTTTCGCAAATGGCTGTAGAGTAATTTTACATTTTTGGCGGTGCAGTAGAGCAAATGACTCTTGAAATCTTGCCGTCTCGAGCCCTTCTTCTGGCTTCTTTGACCTTTTATATTCCGTAAAGGCCGCATTATCGTCGTTTACGCGAAACTTCCTCCACAACCTTCCTTTCTTGTTAATCTCCATTTTGAGATCTCGCGTTAGCCATTGAAGTCTGTTGGATGTCCTATGCCTTGAAAAGGGACAACCTCCGGTCGACCAGCGATATATTTTATGCCTTCCAGTAGACAAGTATCTGCGTCGAGGTTTGCTCGTGGTTGTCGGCACAAAAAAAAATCCGGAGATATGTCTGCTACTTGT